ATTTTATATAAATTATAGATATATATCATATTTAATATAAAAATATAAAATAAATGGTTAAAACTTGTACTATTTTAAATAAAATTTATGACTATTTACTTATCGATCTTTGATTTTTTTATATCAATGTCTCTAAAAAATAATATGAGACGGTGCCATGAATCGCATAAGTGCAATATATTATTAGAATAATTTAGATATTTTTGTCATGCTTTAAATATGATAAAATTATATATATGTGTGTGTGTGGTGTGTGTTATTTTAATTAAAAATTCACAATATAAACCTATTTTTTCAATGTCTTGTGAACCTAATTTTTTTTTTTTGGCGCTGCCCTGAACCCCGAAATTTTAGTTAGCCCCCCCTACATTCTAATCCTGGCTCCTCCCCTGCCTATCTCAGTCTCATAATCATGAAGAAATCTCAGACTTCAGTCTGAGAAGAAAAGAAAAGGAAGCGAAACTACTGTTGTCTCAGACCGTGGTATGACTTTATAACGTATATATCTCACACCACGGTCCGAGATAGTGAAATAACAAGAATCTGGACTCTCAGACCGCGCTATGACTTTTTAGATCAAATCTCATACTGCGGTTTGAGAAGTGTTATATGCGAAATTTTGCTGAAACTTGGAAACTTTGGCCATAGGTTTAGGTATAAAATGGGGTTTCTAAGAGAAGAAAATAACAACTTTTTGGACGAAAATTTGCAGAGAAGAACAAGAAGACGGCTACGAATAAGGCGGAGATCTGACAAATCTCCAGCATAATTTTTATTATTATTCTCTTCTTTTGGAACTGTGTTCTTTAATATTTGTATGATGTTTTTCGTAGAAAACATGAGTAACTAATTTCTTTAATATAGGATTTTAGTGGAACCATATGTGGAGATTGTGTACCCGTCTTCTTGAGATTATGCAATTAAAATTTTAATATATCTTCTACTTGTAATGATTGTTAGTACATAAACCTGATCAATTTATGTGTTTTATGTGAGATATTGGAATTGACTCGACATAGCTATATTGATAATTAGACGTTAAGTAGAAGAACCTTCGAGTAGTTTTTACCGGATCAGTGTGTTAATTGCATGTGGTATCGTTGACATACATATATTCACCTTACGTAATCATTGTAGATACATATGTTTTAATGCTTTATTCATAATCGAGTTGCATAGATAGAAACTTAAAAGTTCTTAACGAGATATCATCAGTTCTATTCGACACAAAATATGGATTTCTTTAATAACTAATTTCCACTAATTAAATATTATTACCCAATTTTTCGACACGAAGACTCAGGTGGTGTTTGCAAACGTTTTTTCAAAGTGATTATGAGCTTTTTAATATTTAAAAAAAAACTGATTTTGAAAAAAAAAAAACTTATAATCACTTTAGAAAAGCGTTTAAAAATACCACCTCAGTAGTAAATCTCTTCCATTGACTTCTCAAAGTAATAAACTTATGTAATCTCACATGGACATATAGCTCAACTGGTTTCGAGCGTACTAAGTTAATAGAAGGTTCTATGGGACGAGGATTTTGTCTTTTTGGTACAAGCAAATAATTATGTATCGTTAATTATTTTTAGATTAAGAGAATAAATAATAATAATAATAATAATAATAATAATAATAATAATAATAATAATAATAATAATAATAATAATAATAATAATAATAATAATAATAATAATATAATATCATTGTGTAGAATCCAGTTAACCAAAATTGGGTCGACAATTATTAGATGGGTGACGTCAGCAGCATAACTTGGAGCAGATCATTGTTTGAAATATAAGTAGAGAAAATGATAATAATGCCATGTGTCTACTATGGTGATGACACCGCCAAACCCATTTTAACCATACTCCTCCTCTACACCCTTCTTCTCCATCTCTATCTCCCCTGTTATTCTCTATCATGCGCCGACTGTTCTGTAAGCTCGCTCTCTCTCTCTCTCATATTTGCATGCCTTTGTTTCTTTACTGTTATTAAATTGCTATTATTTAAGAAGGCAATAAATTTTGCAGGATACAAACAAAGGGGTTGAGTTGAAGTATTAGAAACTGTAAATTAAAGGAAAAAATTGAATCATCGTAGATTGCTTTTTGGTAATGGCGTGTAAGGGTTTTTGGGAGTGTCTATTGAAGCTATTGAACTTCCTTTTAGTTCTTGTTGGTTTGGGTATGATTGGGTACGGAGTATACCTTTTTGTTGAGTATAAGAATATCTCTTCCGACGATGATGGTGGTGATTCCGCCCTCCCTCCTTCGACCGATGCTTTTGTACAGCTCGGTCGGCCCATGCTGTTAGCTGTTTCTTTGGCTGATAACATTTTCGACAAACTTCCCAAAGCATGGTACGCCAACAACTACTCGTCTTTAGTAGTTCTTGGTGATTTGATATTTGTTTTCGGAGAATGAATATGTTGACTTGAATTGCAGGTTTATTTATCTTTTCATTGGGCTTGGTGGAATTGTTCTTTTCATTGCTTGTTGTGGTTGCATCGGAACTGCTACTCGGAATGGCTGCTGCCTCACTTGTGTATCCTTTTCTATTCATTTTATACCGTTGGAGTGTCTGCTACACTAACGTATTTTATTTTATATTAATGTGATTGGGTACTTGAACTGCTGAATGTTGCATGTAAACGGTCAAGCCGTCTCGTTTTGCGGAATGTGTGTATACACTATCCTAAAGCTTTTGCATTAGTTGAAAAATGCTAACTGTGTCGAGTTTGAGAATGTAACAGTAATTTTGCTCTATCCTTTAAGCTTCTAGCTTGAGTGATCCACGTCAAGAAACTCTACTTTTATCATTATTGAGAAATATGATTAACAATATGTTTGTTTCCTGCGAATAACTTAATACTTTCCGTCTCTGTCTGGTTTCACGTTTTTGTGAACATTTAAGTTGTATGCAATCGAAAAATTATCGTCCACATTGTGTTTTTTGCCTTATTAATGATTGGGTTCCTTAAGATAATAAAGTATTCAGTGCTGGTGATCTTGTTGATATTGGCCGAGCTGGGATTTGCTGCTTTTATATTCTTTGACGAAAGCTGGAAAGACGTAAGTTTCACTGTATTTGGTTATCTTTAGTTCCACACTTATTATTCGGGACTCTGATAAAAAAAATTAAATTGAACAGAAAATTCCAACCGACGGGACTGGAAATTTTGCTATGATATATGAATTTCTGGATAAGCACTGGAAAATTATCAAATGGGTTGCTCTTGGTGCTGTTTATACTAGAGGTAAGACGAAGATCTGCTCTTGAATAACATTGGCTTTGCTAGTTATAGACCTTACTATGATCTGCACTTTTACCTACTAAATCGTGCTATATTTTGTCCGAATGTCGGAAATATGATTGTACCTCTATAGTGAAGTTTTTTTATTGTTTAAGCTGTTTGAGTTCGTTAGCTATTCCAGTCATATTAACTACAGTGAAAATGCAGGCGCTTATATTTTTGCTAGCGCTTATTGTAAGGGCTGCAAACTCACACCAGCAGACTATGACAGTGATGAAGTATATATAGGTCGACCCAGGCAACAGACCC